AGATGGGGGTGTCAAAACGTGCTCGCCCACTCACTATTTTGTTTTTTTCCACTTTTAACTTCTTGTTTTCACTTTATTTCGGGGCCTAAAAAAAATTATTATTTTTTGAAAAGTTTTTGACGAGTTGTTGGTTATGTAAACTGCATATCTGTAAATTTTCAGGGCATTTGTCAATGCCAAAAAATAATTAAAAATCGGCAAAGATGGCGGTGCCGAAAAGGTGCTGGCACACTCACTCATTTTAATTCTCTTTTTATTTTTTCTTATTTTTATCATAGTGTTTATTTTCTGTATTTGATTTTCAATTCAAATTTGGTAAAGAATTTGGATGTAGTGCCCAGGCAAATGTGGTTTAGTTTATGTTTCTCCATAGCATTTTTTTTTTTCGGAATTTTTTGAAAACGTTTTTTTTTTTTTTTTTTTTTTGGTCCGCGGCCCGTACGGCCGAACGCCTTCGGAAGGGGTCTCGTACGTTCGGGCGTTCGGCTTGTCCCGAACGCCGGCAACCCTGTATATATATATACTTTTATTTATTTTTTTTGTTTTTGATTTTTAACTCATGATTGGCTACGAATTTGTCTTTATTTTTATTTTTTTTTCACATGAACAATGTCTTTATAAAAGCCGGGAACCGGGCCCGGCGTCCCTTACAAAGTTATGTGGGGCCCTCAGTGGGCAAGGCATCATCGGCCAAACACATAGAGGACACCACTATGTTCGAGTTGGGAGAGTTTGGGGCGCTTGTTGGCGTTCGGGCGAACATGTTCATGTTCGACTCCGAACGCGAACACGGTGTTCTGGAAAGTGCACTTGAAGTTTTTCCAATTTTTCTGATGATTGTTTTTAAATGGGTATCTGATGTGTCTTCCCTCTGTGCTTGTGTTGTGGACAGGCAAGTTCTGAAAAAGAGTGGATCAGGACTGGTAACATTGCGGATAATGTTTTCGGCGAAGGTTAGTACTTCATGTTGCCATTCCCTGCTGAGGGGTATGCCCCATGTGCGCCCTGTTCGTGATTAGGACCCCGCTGCACTACTCACCAAATGCAAATAAAAGACAAAAACGTTAGGGCGGTGCATCTCTTCATGTCCTAGCTGAAGATTCATTCCCGTTTTGCACATTTGGTGAGTGGCGCGGTGATGCCCTTAAACCACCAGTACACGGCCCAGCCTTGCAGAAAATGAACTTGTCCCCACCACCAAAAAATCCGGGGATTGGGGAAAGGCCCGGTAGTGCGGTGGGGGAGGACGCTGGTGGGCCCAAGGAAAAGGGGCAAATGGACTGCAAGACGTCCTGCTGGTTTATGCCATGCATGTGTTCCCACATGCACGGACGCTGAACGCCCTGCCTTGCTGGCAGGGCTCTAAAAGCTGTCTCTTATACACATCTAGATGTGTATAAGAGACAGGTT